CATCTAATTCTATCTATCTATGGACGTATTTAAAAGATCAATTTTGATGTATAACATGTATAATAAAGTTGATATTTCGAAATGATGCCGATTTAAAACCTGAAGTACGACAGCATAATTTCCAGAAATGGAACCTGCTATATCCAGTAGGACATAATAAATTTTTTGGTGGACACAATCGGACGTAACGTGGACTTAATTCTGGCAAAGTTTCAAAGTGATTGGATTCTTCATGCCGTCGTACTTCAGTCACACGATTAAATAAGATATTGAAATGTTAAAAAAAAAAAATAAAACAAGACTTTATGTACACTAGAAAATACTAAAGTTTATCAAAACAAATTGCTGTTATGGTTAATTAATAAATCTTCAAAAATTCTTGTTACTGAAAGTATGTAAGTATTGACTTTAGACAATTTCAGAAAGATTTTTAATCATCAGATTTAATTTATTTTAAATAGTTAAAAAACAAAAAGTTTAATTAAAACATATTAAAACAAATATTAATTTTACTAAAAATATTTAAACCGAATTAAAGTTTTACAAAAACCTTAAAATAAGTCTAGTTCAGGTTCAGTTACGAGTTATAGGACGAACATATATTATTAGAAAAAGATTAATTAAAATTATTAATTTGGAATGATTGAATCATCCAGGACAACTATTTATGTGAATTAAATTTTCATTATGTATAAAAAAAGCTGTAATCTATTTCAATTTCGTGGAAAATCACATATTCGAACATCATATAATATTTTGAATAATTCATTCAACTCTAAACCAGAAAATCCCTATAGCATATCCCATGAGCCTGTTTCCAATACATAAGATATATTCAATCTATATATTTGTAATATCGCTTGATGTAAAAAAGCCTGTCTGATCCAAAATCTATCTTTTCCTATGTTTTTGTTTGAATCTTATATTGATTATCGATTATCCCCGAATAGTCGTTATTCTTTCTTTTTTTGTGCTATCTCATACGATACTAATATTTTGTAAACATAGAGTCACTTTCCTTCTCCTTCTTTTTTGTAGGCCTCGTCAAATACATATATAAATAATGCATTAAACAGACATTTAGTATTCGATGTAGCATCTTAGTCTTTATATGATACATATAAAGATCTATTTTTGGTATATGTGTATGTAAGTGTTTTTTTCTCAAGTTCTCACACTCTTTTTGAAAATTTCCATATAATTTTTAGGATATTAAAAATGTCACTTATTTTCGTCTGCCTGCCTATTAATGTTATTTTTTTCATTATCAAAATAAGTCGTCGTGATAAAACCTAAAACTATACAGAGATGAAATATTTTGTAATCTGCTATCTTTTCACTACATTTATTAGAATTTAAAATATTATCCTTTATCGCCTTTATCATTAAAATGCGCCAAAACTGTGTAATTTTACAAATATTTATTGTTTGTTGTGTAAATGGTATACATATAGATTTCACCATATATAAGAAAACAAAACAGTTTTATACGTGACAATGTTTTGAATCTTTTTTTTTTGACAATTTCGTATTATATCCTAATAGGATAAGTGGAAATATAATAATATTGGAAAAGTGACATTATCATTGTTTTTTCTTTCTCATTCACACTGTTGATATTTTTGTACTTTCTTCCGGCAAAAAAAAAATATTTTTAAAATAATAATTATTAAATTATTATTGCTATTATTTAGTTTTGACAGCAAAAGAAATTAAAAACGATCAAATCGACTTTTTAGATAAACATACTCCAAAACCAATAACTGTGAATATCATGTTAAGTGTACAGTTTCCCTTTAAAAAATTTACGCATACACCGCATTCACATAATTCTTTAAGATTTAAGTTCTTTTTTCTCTATTGAAAAAGATTTGTTTCCAATGTAGGCAGGGAGAGCATAAAAATTTATTTAAATAATCGAATTATCAATTGACATAGACAAAGAAAAAATATACGAAATGATAACGTTATACTGAATTGAACTGAAAAAGTAAAGAACAGAGAAATGAAGAGGAAAGAATAAAGTAGAAAAAACAGAAATCCAAAAGAAAAGAATGGCAATCTGCAACGTGCATAAATAATCGAAAGATATTTTAAAATCTTTGTCGATAATTTTCCAATAACTGTGCTAAAAGGAATTTTCTGTATTGCTTTAAATAGGATAGATAGATTTTGTGATATGAATATTAGAAGAGAAAATATAAAATGGTGGAAGTATCCTATTATCTTTATTGCAATGTTAAAAAGCAATTCACATACTCACTGAAATTGTCACAACCTATCGCTTTCAAATAAAAAATATTACGATATTATGATCAATATAGTTGACTCTAAAGGTGAATAGAATTTCCAAAATTATTGGAATTTTTTCGTTCTTGAGATAAAATTTTATTCGGCAAAATTTTTTAAACAAATTGGAACTTTCACTTCAAAAAATGAAGGTTTCGAATTATAATTTCAAGTGAAGTTTTTCTTGTATGCTAAATTTAAGGTCATTTGTTGCTGCTTTTGCGATTCTGTGGCTGCTTAAAGTTTAAAACTGATAAAAGATATTTAAAAAAAATTATTTTGATTATTTTGATCAATCCCAGCAAAGGTTTTTAAATTTTCCGCTTTGGTTAAAAGAGTACATACGAATGTGATTTTCAACAATATAACTACCATAACTGAAAATTATAATTTGCTGAAAATAATAATGAAGCTCTTGTTTAGTACCATTAGAAATCGAAAACCGTTTTTAAACATCTTTCATCATCACGAGAATCTTTAATGTTCAAAGATGTCATTAAAAAATATGATTTTTCACCCAATTTTCAACTTCAAACAGCCACAGAACCGCAACAGCAGCACCAAATGACCTGAAACTTGGTATAACGGTCTGTTTTGATGTCCTTTTCAAGAATGACTTTACTTGAAATCATAATTCAAAGCATTCACTTTTGAAGTGAAAGTCCCCTTTTTTTTAAAGTTTGCCGCATAGTGATAACATGAAATACAAAAAAAATACTTGTATTTGTATTTTTATATTTTCATTGTTATTATTCAACTATCTCCACACTTTAATACTTTTATAATTTTGCGTGACATTTCCCATAAACGAAGTCTTCATACAAGCATACATTCATTCTATCAGTCTCCTTCTTTTATAGATGTCTAAGTGTGAAAATACAATAATTGATTATGCTTCTTTGAACTTCTTTCCTTTATTTTGCAATCAATAACTCAATTCATTGCGAAATGAAAAGGCCGTAAATGATTGCAGGAAGGGATCAAAAAGAAAAGAAAAAGAATTTCTCATTCGGTCAATATTGATTCACAAACTTTGCGGTCCACTCTATAAGAATGAATTCTTCATGTCTGCATCACTAAATAATAATGAGATAACGACACATAAAAATTGAAGAGAAATGTTAAAATAAATTTAAAACTTAAAACTTTTTTTTAAGAATTCTTATTCTCCATTAAGTTTTGGATGAACGATAGATTCGTAAACTTTCTGATATTTTGAAGTATCTTAAGTTCTTTTTGATTGAGTCTTTATTTCCTTAAAAGATTTTTCAAATATTATGTTGCTGTAACAGATTTCAGAGTTCTAAGGTATTATGTCCGATTAAAAGGTTGTTAAAATAAAAAAAAAAATTGAAAAACAAAAATAAGGCCGTTGATTTTATAAAATTTTCTGGAAATCTCATTTTCTCCTTGTCTATCATGTCAATGATAAGTGATTTCATATTTCCACTTATAGGGTTCTTTAAATTTCAATATAATTTAAATGAAATATGATTTTCGTAATTTTACGCTTACGCTTATAAGATGATATAAAATTGTAGATGTGCTAAATATATCTATATTTTATAGCATCGGTGAAAAGAAGCGAAAATCATCAGCATATTATCTTTGATCAAATAATCTTTAGGAGGTAGCATTAAAAAAGTCGTTTAAACAGAAGGTAAATTCATTAAGCTTGCTACTGCTGAATGAAGAAAAAATATTATTCTTTAAATTGGAGCTGGAATTTAAAGAGATTTGGAAGAGAAAGACAAAAATATTAAGAAAAATTCAATATTTAAGGCAATAAAAGGAAAGAGAAAACTGTCTTGTACTACTTGTGCCTGTTATTTACAGCTTAGGAAAAAAAGTCTTAGGAATACGTCCCTAATGGAAAAAAGGTAAGAAAATTCCATTAGCAAAAAATGATTGTGAAATTGTAATTGGTTTCTTCACTCTTTTTCTATGCTTTTTTTTATTTACAATAAATCTCTTTTTAGTTCCCCCAATTTTCTCTATCAAAATTAGCTTTTTACACTGAAAGATTTTTTTATTTTACCCTTTATCCCTTATTTTATTCAATTTTTCTTTCGATGTCAACCAAATTTAACCATTTCCATATGATTTCCCTTTTTTAGTAACTTATGATGCAAGCCTTTAAATTATTTTAAAAGAATGCTTTTTTTTGAAAGAATTTTCTTTAGATGTTTAAAAAGTTGATGTTATATTTCGTTTCATCTGACTTTTTCCAAGAGACTAATTGCCGTAAATATGAAAATAGCCTTACATATAAGCAACGAATACTAAGAACTCTGTAAGCAAAGTATGCACAAAATTAACAGAACGGAAGATAAATAAAAGAGAGAGAAAAGGAAGAAAAAAGAAACAGATAAGAAATTGACAATGCAAATTGAAAATGGAAATTCATTTATTCATTAGAATACACAGATCTCGAATGACATTACAAAATCCAATGAAATGGAAAAAAAAGCAAAGAATGCATAAATGTGAATGAGTTTTTTAAAACGGAAAAAATGATATTATTTCTTAATAAAAAAATTCTTGCGAATGAGAAGACGTGTTCATACGCTTTACGTAAAAATAATAATTATTAAAAACATTTTAAATAGTATTTTAATATTGTGACGACGCTTGTTGAATGTTGAGTTAAGCATTCAAAAAACATCTAAGAAAACATTACGAAACATTTTTGTGTTTTGCAACGTGTTTTATTTTTGTAGCTTTAATGTAGCGCGATTTGGAATTTCACGCAAACCATTTGACTTTATTAATTTATTTTTTATAAATAAATCTGTGCAATTAATAATAGTAAATAAGTGCCAACCTTTCGATTTTTCAGATTTAATTTGTGTGTGTTAAGTTTAATAAGAATATTGCTTTAAAATATAAATAAAACGTAAACTTTATTTTACATTTTGTGATATTTACGTGGACATTGTTGCACATTGATGAACACATGAAACATTCAATTTGAAAATTTTGTCGCATAACTGCTCAAAAAATCAAACTGTTAATATTAATTTAGTTTAATTTCAGAATGGCTAATTTCGATAATGATCAACAAAATTACTGGAACGTTCCACCCAATCAAGGAGCTCCATCACCAAATCAAGACTTTAATTTTGAAATGCCTGATCAATTTGGACAGGAACTGTAATGTTTTATTGTAAATTTATTATTTGACAAGCGTTCTAAAAAATTCATTTGATTTAGGAATTTTCAAACTTTTGATGCTTCTTCACAGCAATCGAATGCTCCTTTAAACTATACTCAACCAATTTATCCTGTTAATCAAGCCCCTTTTTTTGATCCAATGCAAGCATATGGTCAACCAGACATTAATCAACCAAAATCTTATGAAGGAAACGAGTTTGAAGATGAACCACCGCTTTTAGAAGGTAAATAATCAAAATCAGAAATTATTCCTACGATAAATTTTATACATTCAATACCGATGCGATTTCAGAATTGGGCATAAATCCACAACATATCCTTATGAAGGTAATATACATAAAAATGTTTACATTTCTTATATAACATTACATCTAATAAGATTAAATATTTTTCAACACAATTTTCGTCGTAAATTGATCCTTTTATTCTGTTTTGCATACATGTATCAATGAATAATTTAAACATATATACCTTCATACAGCATCATTCGATGCTGAATTTTTAAATAAAAATAAACAAATTATTGGAAATTTGTAAGCGAGAATTCATAAATCGATTTCGGTAACAAATCCCTCGATATAGTTAAAATTGGTTTGACATCTTCTTCTGTAATATTATAACTTACTGGATATTCCATTAAATGATTTTAAATCTGCTTTATTTTAAATAGAAAAAAAGTCTAACGTTAAACTGTAAAAAATAACAATCAAAAGAATAAACGCGATGGTGCATTTCAACCTTTTTTTAAAATAAAAAAATTAATGAAACTAATCTGAAATGGATAGAGCATTCAAATTGCCAGTATTTTAAATTGAAATCAAAACTTTTAATTAAGCTTTTTGTCGATCAAAAAATGAACAAAATGAAACTAATCTAGCTCAAGATTCATTTCTGAATACGCTTAAACATTCAAAAAGTAAGAGAAATGAAAAAATCGTAAAGCTCTATAATCCGAGGCAATTTCAATCCAATCTTCTCAAACGCTAAAGTCAAACGAGAAACGACGAAGAACGTCAAGAGAACGTAGGAAAAAACTTTGATTGAATTTTAAGTGAAGATTTATTTTATTGTGTTTTCGCTTTTTTTTTATAAGAATAGAGAACATAAGCGAAATATCAAGTAATATAAGCGATTCTTCAGATAAGTAGAAATTTGAAGAGAATCAATCTTTAGTTCTTATCGAAAATACTTATAATATATTTAAGACTTTGATAACCGTTGAACCATGATGAAAATTTTAAAAGGATGGCTTCTTGACAAATGACAGATAAATTAAAAAGAAACTACTTGGCTTATTTTTTAAATTTATAATTCATGCCCATTATTCATTAGTCGTGTTTTTTCGAGCATGATTTTATTTATGGTAAATTCCAATATGAGAACTTAGAAATTGAGGAGTCTATAAAAAAAAAGTTCTTACTGTTTATGTTTATTAGAAACGCATTCGATTGAGTGAGTTAGGCTGTAAAAAAAAGGATGAAAGTTCAATGTTATATCTTCTTCGGCAAAGGAATATCTATTTCTAACTCTTTATGAATGCATGATTGATTTTTATTCTTCTCAAGAAATTCGATTCAAAAAAGAAGAAATGTATGAAATTGATAATAACAATATTCACTTATAAAAGGAGCGGAAATATCAAAACATTTCTGTTACTGATAATATTCTTTTTTCAAAGATAAAGAGAAGAGAAGAAAAGGAAAGGAAGATTTTTTGCTAGATATAAATTTAAATTGGCTCTGTGACTCGTAAAAGGAAACATGATACAATATAAAAATATGAGAAAAATTGATGGCTGTTTTTGTTATTTTTATTGCTATTACTTTTTTCTGTTATTAATATAAAAATCTCATGATTAAAAAATAAAAGGCTATAATTTTTTTTATCATCTTTCTCTATCCTATTCAGCTTTTTGGGTCGTCTGTTGATTCATTTGGCTGCTAGCTAGAAATTAAGGATTTTATTTACTGATTTAATTTTCTCTCCATTTTTTTCTTTTTCTCAAACTTTGAATACAAAAGAGAGGGAACAGAATATCATATTATGCTTTCTCGCGGGGAAAAAAATCACTTAAGCTTTATCCACCCTCAAGTTTCCAATGTCCATATTCCTATAAGACATCCTAATAAGATCATAAGATGGAAAATCATTCAGATTATGATGCAAAAACGAGCGACAAAAATTTTTTGTTGTCAAGAAATGGCTTTTCTCTTGATTTCAGGGGTACATATTAAATTACATTAATATTTTATCCATCATCATATTTTCAATTTTTCCTTGTTCTTTCTCCTTGTCTCCCTCTTCTATGTTTTCTCTCACTCTCTATTATTATTTATAGCTATCGCTGGTTTATTTACAGTAATGAATAAATTTAATCGCAATATTTGTGACGGAGAAGTGATTTTTCCTTATGTATCCGAAAACAAAGACGATACATAATAATGTGGGTGTTGAAAATTTCTGAATTTAATTCCCCTAAATTATGCATCATGAAAAGCTTTATGATTAAAACTGCTAACAGAATAATTAATTTATATACATGAAAATGAGGAATTAAAATGTCGAAGTCACTTTATGTGTGTTTTATTAATGAGTGAAGAATATGTTAAAAGTAAACGAAGTTTACGAAGTTTTTTTAACCTCAGAATTATTGTTGAAAAAAAACTGGATACATTCAAAGAAATAAGAATGGACGTTGTTCAATTGAGCTCAAGTAAAATAATTTTTTTTTTTTTGATGAATAAGAATTATTTAAATATTTTGTTCTTTTTGTTCTTCTTTAAAATGTATTTTTAAAATGTATGACAAGGAGATGGATCTAAATATTTTAAAACGAGCTTCAAAGTTTCAATACTATTTTATTGTTTTTTCTCTTTATTTCTTTCTCCATATTTCTTTCCAACACTCAACTTTTTTCAACAAAGTCAACAATGTAGTGTTTCGATCACGTTTTTAATTAAGGTTAAAATGGAATTTCTTTTTTTCATTCTCTTGTATACTCTATACTTTTAAAGTGTGTGTGTGACATGTTTGCATTAAAATGAGACAGTCCTTTAAGGAAGTATTCTTGGATTATTATTATTATTATCATGTTGAAATGAATTAAAAGTGAAGCGTGACGTAAAAGGGTTAAAGGACATTATAAGCGTAATGAATTTCTGAATAAAAATGAGCAATAATCTTGAATACATTGTTCGTTAAAACTTTTCATTTTCATATCAAATGAAAATACTTTTAATTTATTTCTAAGCATGTTTTGCTTTGCAGTAACAGCATCATCATGTGTCTTACTTCATAACAATTTTAAATGCTTAATAATAAAGCAACACATTTTAAGAAACATAAGGGACATATTGGGCTATAGTGGGTAAAAAAACAATTTTATACTATGAGCTTTAATTGCGTATTATTTAATTTTTTTTTAATATTCAAAGCAATGTATTAATATCTTTGAGCATTTTTTTTTGAAAAAATATTATACATCTTTTTCAACGCTTAAAACTCTACATTCATCTCAATTCGCTACAAGAAAACATGCATGTGAAAATGTACAGGTGAAATTTCTTTTACAACAAGAAGTTCATACATTTTTTAAAAAAAATTGAAAATAATTAAAACAATTCCTTTTGTGTTTATTAAGACATGTTTTAATATTTTTTATATTTTTGCACAAAATTTTTTTTAAGGAAATTGGATAACGAAATTCATTGATATGTTTTGTTGTTGAAAAATACACATATATTCACATTCACATTTATGCTCAAAATGTGTGAATTGATGTGAAGGAATAAAATTTTAGTGTAAAAAAGAAAGAATCCCAATAGGAATTTAGACCGATTTCAAATTGCTTCTTCAGCTACTTGCTGAAGCTTTATGTATGCATACTGTTTATACGGTGTGTTATAACATAAAAAAACATAAATGTACCCATTTCATTTTTGTTTTTCTGTTTTTCTTTTCTTTTTTCGTTTCACCATCCTAAATAAATATCTTTTCTCCTTCTTTTCATTTTTCCTTTCTTTATAAATCAGTTGTGAAGACAGGTAAACATAGTACGAGTTTTCACTTTTTCAGTAAAACTGAACCAAGGATTTTTTGAAGAATGTAACTTTTGACCCATGCAAGTAACGAATTTATGCAATGTAATAATTCATTACACGTAAATCTTTGGTTTTGTAGTTAAATTGTTTTGTTAAATGAGCCATTTCAAGTAGATGATCTATGTTTTCGTATTTTGGCGACATTTCACTTTTATGGCACCTAATAAATAAGATTGAATATCCCTATTTTTTCAGTTTTAAGAAAAAGAATATAGTTGTATTACTAAAATATCAAATAACCAGATTTACATTACGAAAAATTTGAGAATTACAATATACTTATAAAAACATCGTTTACGCTTTAAATGTTCCATTCGTCCATTTGTTAAGTATACTCATAATGTTTAAAATTAATTTTGATAAAAAGTTTGAATTTTGACGTCTACTATTCATCCAAATGTTTACCTAAATGTATATATTTATATGGAGTATAGATGTCTATGCGCATCATGTGTGTAATAATGTTAATTGAATTAAGGAAGTGAATGCTTTGCGAATGTATTCTCCTTTTCCAACGGTTAGTTATTTTGGTACATTTTTTTCTCGTCTAAATACGGTAACATGCTTCAGCAACATAAAAAATGATCTCATATATCTATACCAAAATGAAAGAGAAGGATGAGAATGAAAAATATTAGATCCTATTATAACAACCATACGCTACTTTCAAAGCAAAGGGGATTAGGGATTTCGATTTGGTTCGACGATTTTTCATTTTAGATTTTGCCATTAATCGTGAAATGTCTAACTGTTACATAATCAAAAGACTTTTTGTAGAAACATGTTTATATGTGAATAATAAAAAAGAAGGAGTGGAACGTTATTCAGAATTATTTAAGTAACATCTAAAAGTAAAAAATCTGAAATTCTGCTTGCAATTTACAAATCTGCTTTTACGAAATTTTATGTTTTTATACAAAAACATTTTTATAATAATAACTATTGCAGGACTTTTTGATGCTCTTGAACAAAAAACTAAATTGATCTTGTTCATTAACAACATTAGAAAATAAAGGATTTATTTAAATAAATCATTAATCCAAACATCCATTAAACACTATGTATACATTAATATTAATAAGGAATAAATGTCATATAAATGATTATAAATGTAGAATCATATGGCTTTAGAGCAACTGATGACAAATTATTAAAAATTTAAACAATTTAATACACTGCTTTAACACATGCTTAATGTTTAAATAATATGTCATATCGTATAAACTAAGGGAAAACAGCTTAGTGTAATTTATTGATGAGAGAAAAAATTCTGAAATTAATAAAAAGACATTTTGCATAATATTTACACAAAAAAAAATCATAGATTACCACAAAATACACTACTTTAGAAAATAATTTGAAAAAACTTTGCTTCTGGATTTACTTAATCATAGGTGCAATCACTATGTTGAACTATATCACATATAATTTATCTTTCCATGTATTAAATCTACATTATATCTTTAGCTTTTATCATTGTGTACTCATCGCATTTATCTTTTGTTACATTATGTTGTATCTGATATAAAATTGTTTCCTTATCAACCTTTTTCAAGTTTTCTTTAAGTAGTTGGAACTCATTAAATGCATCTTTTGTTAATAATCCTCGCTCACTTGCCACTTGCAATGAATTAAACAGCATAGGTTATGTTTACCCTTATCTCATCTATTTCATCTCTTAGCTTCTCCTGATAAAGATCTTAATAATTTAAATGAAGAAGAAATTTCAAGCACATAATGCACACAAAATTATTTTTTTTCCTCCCCATTCATTCATGTCCTTAAATTGAATGCTTCTTTTAATTTGGCAATCTTTGCTGTTGCTCCGAGAAGGTTTCATTAAATTTTTAATTAAAAGTTCTTTAGGTTTCTTTCAACTTTTTATGCTTTTTTCTTTTTTTCCTCGCTTCCATATCTTGTTATTTTCTTTCTCGCATGAAGTTTTTGCTCTCTTTATAATATTTATCAAGGTAAACAAGCAACGAGGAACATTTTTCAAATGAATATGTGAAGTATGAAACTCTTCTTTCATAAGCTCGATTTATTATGAATTCTTTGAGCTCTAAATGATGCAAAATAATACTTTAAAATTTCAATATTAAGAACATAAAGGAAGTTCTTTTGCTTGTCATGCAAAATGAGAAAAATAATAGAAATAATAATTGGCCGTTTAAAATGAAATATTTGAAGCATTAAAAGCATTACTATGTTTCTTAATATATAATATGTTTTAAATTACCAAATGAAATAAAAAGAAAGATTTGCAAAAAATTCTTTCCATTTCAATACTGTTTAAATTTTTTATTATTGTAGCTTTAAGCCATCCAAATTTTTTTAAAATGTCAAACTTTTGCACGAGCACTAATCCCTAAAATTTTAATATTTATGTTATCTGAATTTCTGAACTTTTAAAGTATTAACAAAAAATTATTTTGTAATCAAATTAATGAAATGCGTCACATCTATTTATCATCCACAAATGTTAATACCAATTGAATATGTCACATGTAAGGAGCAGTAAAGTTGAATGAATGTTATCTGAGAAAGCAACATAAAGTTTTTAATATTCAGATGGTAAATCGGATTTGATAAAAGTTTTTTTTTTGTTGATACTGAGATGAGTATGAAAAGAAAAAAAAAATCGAAGGAGGAAAATTGTTATTACTAGCTTCAAGCTATTCATTTGATATTTTCATAGATACATATATGAAAGTTTGATTTTGACTTTCTATCTCTCTTTTTGGAATTGTCAGTAACTTTGATAGCAAACAATACTTTCCTCATTTATATTGAAGTCTCATATATAATTTGAAATTAAAATCAAAGCACGTATTATCTAATAATATTTCATAAAATCGCTAAGATTCGCTCACTTATTTTCATGTCAATAACATGCCGTCATAATGATGACAATAATAATAATGAACTTTCTCATGTTTGGGTTATAATAAAAAATTAATAATGCTTTTCCATGTAGTTTCAAAATTTTAGAATTTTATGATGAATTTTTTTTGAAAGTTTGATTTAATTTATGTTGTCAAAATTAATAATTTAATTTATTGAAAATGAGAGAATAAGATTAAGTGTCCATCAAGTAGAACGGTGACCTAATGATTGAGTGATCGGTCTCTGGTGGGAATCGAACCCACGTTCTCACATAAGAGGGTTACAGATATCCGATTGATGTCTAACCACGTACGTTACAAAGGCGTAATTCTTGAATTAGCAGATTCAACTATATATGACTCGATCCCCCAGATTCTACCCCATTGTCCTTCCCTAGCAAAATAAAACCTGAGTAGGATGGATACAGAAGTTAAGAATAGCGGGGAATTTCTAAATAAAGAAAAGGTCTTGGTATAGGTAGACAACTTTGTCTACTTTTAGGCATGTCAAGGATTACCAAAAGTTACTGATTTGTTTAAAGTTACAGATTTATTACAGCTTTAATTTTAATTTTTTGTTTATTTTTTTCTATTTTTTGCTTAACATTCCAGACCCTCTCAGTTTTGAACCCATTTAGAACACCAGAAAAGGAAATTTTTGACGATACTGATCTTGCAGGTCCTTTAGTATTTTGCATGGCCTTTGGCGGTTTTTTACTTCTTGTAAGTTCCTCATGCTTAAATATTAAACGAAATTCGTAGCTCATAACATAAAAATTAAAATGATTTGAAAAAAATTTTAATAATTTATGCGTTTAGTCTGGAAAAGTCACATTTTCTTACATCTATGGCATTGGAGTTCTTGGATGCATCGCATTTTACTGTTTGCTAACTTTAATGGCCGCAACAAATGTCACGCTTGGAGCGGTTATTTCTGTTCTAGGATACTGCCTATTACCCATGGTTATTTTATCCGGAATTAATGTACTTATTACAATTCAGTAAGTAAAACAGCTAATAATTAATTTTTATAAAATTTTTTTTACGTATTTTTCATATTTAATAGAGGATTAATAGGAACTGCACTTTCATGCTTTTGTATAATATGGTGTGCGATATCTGCATCAAAACTCTTTGTCACAGCTCTATCAATGGATCACCAACAAGTTCTTGTCGCATATCCTTGTGCTCTTTTATATGGAGTGTTTGCACTCATCACAATTTTTTGAATATAATAATCTTTAATAGATTCAATTTAATGTACCTATTTTTTTTAAAATCTGAAAAAAAATAAAAAATAATATATTCAGAAATCAAAAATTTTACTGTAAGTAATATTGATAATCTTTTTTTTTTTGTTACCATTGAAAAAAAAAATGTCTTAAGCCATTTTAATTCAAGAAACTAACCACTTCTTCTCATTTGATATCATTCAAGTTTAATTGTCAAAGAAATAGAACTTGATTAAGAAAATGTCACTTCTCAGATAAAATAATAGCTCTTTCCGGTCGAGTTAACAATTGAAACTAATTTAATTTCAAGAATCTGATATGAACCTTTTTAATTGATATATCTATATATTATATAGCATAAGCTTTTGGGATTATTTTAGTTAATCTTAAGAACGAAAGTTTAATTTACCAGAAAATTTTAGAATTATATCATTACACGAGCTGAGTTAAAACAAAATGAAAAAAAAAACAAGATTTACGTAAAAAGCTTCAAACTTCTTCATGCATGCTTCTTTTTATTAGATTGTCAATTGCATTTTGAAAACAGTTGACATTGTTTCGCTTTATGTTTTTTCATTGTCTATTATCGATGATCTATTAACGATTAAACGTCTTTACAATTCAAGAATATCTTGTTGTAAAAAATAGCATCGATTTTAAATAATTATTCCATAAATTCCTGCAAATTTGATTATTTTTTTTTCACAGCAATCAAGTAAAAATATTGAAAAACAATTATAAGTTAAATTTTAATTCAAGACAAGACAAAACTAAAGAAATTCTTAGTAAATAATGAAAAAGGCGGACATTTTCTTTGCAATGATGGAAGTATTCAAAAAAGCTGAACATTAAAAATTGGTAGTTCAACAAGGTTCGACGGGATAAAATGATACAGAAGAAAATTGATTTCTGGATGATGCAAATAAGCGAAGAAGTTGATAAAATTCAAAAACAAGAACTATTGAAAGATGAACTGAAGGCAGAGATTGAAGTACAGAAGATGCTTCCCGAACATACAAAGAGCATGCTCAGAAAAGTGAGTATATAGGTGAGTCTACTCAAAAATTATACTCATGCAAGCTCATTCAACTGAGCATGCTCAGGAGTTCATTACGAATGTACTCACTTTATTTTTTTGCAAAAAAAATATAAGCTCACGTGAGTACATTTAACGAGTGTATTCATAAGAATATTAAGAACATACTTATGTGAATATACTCGTATGAGTGCACTTACTGAACATTTTCATGAGAATATTAAGAACATACTTATGTGAATTCACTCATATGAGTTCACTTACTGAATATACTCATGAGCATATAATGAGTAAACTCACTTCTGTGTCACACAATTTTTTTTTATATTCTCATATGAGTGCACTTACTGAATGTACTCATGAGCATACAATGAGCAAACTCACTTCTGTGTCACGCAATTTTTTTATATTCTCATATGAGTGCACTTACTGAACATTCTCATGAGAATATTAAGAACATACTCACTTCTGTGTGACATAATTTTTTTACGTTCTCATATGAGTGCGCTTACTGAACATACTCATGAGAATATTAAGAACCTACTTATGTGAATATATTCGTATGTGTGACATAATTTTTTTTACGTTCTCATATGAGTGCACTTACTGAACATACTCATGAGAATATTAAGAACCTACTTATGTGAATATATTCGTATGTGTGACATAATTTTTTTTACGTTCTCATATGAGTGCACTTACTGAACATACTCATGAGAATATTCAGAACATACTTATGTGAATACACTCGTATGAGTGCACTTACTGAACATTCTCATGAGAATATTAAGAAAATACTCACTTCTGTGTGACATAATTTTTTTTACGTTCTCATATGAGTGCACTTACTGAACATACTCATGAGAATATTCAGAACATACTTATGTGAATACACTCGTATGAGTGCACTTACTGTACATTCTCATAAGAATATTAAGAACATACTCACTTCTGTGTGATATATTTTTTTCCGTTCTCATATGAGTGCACTTACTGAACATACTCATAAGAATATCAAGAACCTACTTATGTGAATATATTCGTATGAGTGCACTTACTGAACATTCTCATGAGAATATTAAGAACATACTCACTTCTGTGTGACATAATTTTTTTACGTTCTCATATGAGTGCACTTACTGAACATACTCATGAGAATATTCAGAACATACTTATGTGAATACACTCGTATGAGTGCACTTACTGAACATTCTCATGAGAATATTAAGAAAATACTCACTTCTGTGTGACATAATTTTTTTTACGTTCTCATATGAGTGCACTTACTGAACATACTCATGAGAATATTAAGAACATACTTATGTGAATACACTCGTATGAGTGCACTTACTGAACATTCTCATAAGAATATTAAGAACCTACTTATGTGAATATATTCGTATGAGTGCACTTACTGAACATTTTCATGAGAATATTAAGAACATACTCACTTCTGTGTGACATAATATTTTTACGTTCTCATATGAGTGCACTTACTGAACATACTCATGAGAATATTAAGAACATACTTATGTGAATATATTCGTATGAGTGCACTTACTGAACATTTTCATGAGAATATTAAGAACATACTCACTTCTGTGTGACATAATATTTTTACGTTCTCATATGAGTGCACTTACTGAACATACTCATGAGAATATTAAGAACATACTTATGTGAATACACTCGTATGAGCTCACTTACTGAACATTCTCATAAGAATATTAAGAACACACATAGGGATTTACTCTTATGAATACACTTCCTAAACATACTCATGAGCATATAATGAACATAATTATATCTATATGACATTTTCAAAAATGTCGTCCAACTTAAAATCAAACTTAGAATACATTTTTATGATAGTTGACATTAGGGATTTCAATACCGGACCAAAATTTCAATTTCGGGATCACGGTATTGGAAATTGTTGATCCTGGGATCCCGGGTTCAAACCCGGATTTAGATTCGGTTCAACTGGTACAAAATTGCGTTTAACACGTTCAAAATAAGAGCTTTCAATTACAAATTAGGTGTTTTATCATTAAAAAAAGTTTTAGGTTGAAAACTAATCCAGAAAGTTAAAGTTTTTCTAAATAAATCAATATTTCCTTTTCTTGTCTTGTCTGAACTTTTTAACTTTACAATGAAAGCTTTTGTTAATTTTTATAAAGATTATCTTTAAGCCTTTCACATCAAAAATGATTTAAAATTTTCAGTATTTTTTTTTTGTCGAGCTATTATGACTTTTCTTTTGTAAAAACTTTCAAAGCTCTTGTTTTATAAAAAATCAATAACTATAATTTTTAATTCAAATAGAGAAAAAATATATTAATTGGCGCAAAATGCAGTTGGGATTTTTAAATGCCAATAACTTCAGAATGGAAGCATGAAATACTACAAACAACAGTTTAAAAAAATACGAATTCTGGAAATTTTCATAATAAATTACTTCTGGCTTGCCAGAATGTAGCACTTCTTCTAAAATCGATCATTTATGTCAAGTATCAGGGGCGTAGCCAGAAAATTTTTAAGGGGGGCCCATTTTCGAAAATTAAAAAAACCGTTATTTTGTATCCTTAAATCTATATTCATTCTTCATAAGTTTAAATATTTAATTCATTATTCATACATTAAATTTAATTTTTCGTGCTGATTTTGACACTTCTTTCATCACTTGCTCTACATTAACTGGTTCTTCTCTATAAATACTTAATAAAACAATTATCAGATATTCGAAGGGGGGCCCGGGCCCCCTATGGCCCCCACTGGCTACGCCCCTGTCAAGTATAATTATTGGCGCAGTTTTGAACAAGTAGGCGAGTAAATAAAATTAATTTTTTGCTAATTTTCTTCAATTTCAGCCAAAATACAGCATGTACATCACCAACAAACACTTGAAAGTGATTAAAAGTTATTTAAGTGCTTTATTTTGGCTGAAAATTACCCAAAAATTTATGTCATTTGAAAATGTATGTGTTTGTATGTGAATTTCCTTGCGCTAATTTTCATAGTCGCCAATTTCAATATTTTTTACCCTAAAATATTTTATAGCAGCTTCATTAGAGACTCATTCGAATGACCATAAAATCTATTTAAAATTCAAAATTTTTAAAAAATTGCAATGGGCATGTGACTAGACTTTTTTCAACACTTTAAAAAGAAAACTAAGTTAAAAAGAAATCCTAAATTATTTTGCAAAAACATTCTGATTATTTTTATTTAACACTTTAGTATTAACAAGATTTGTGTGAAATTCTAAGGATATCTTGATCCCGTAATCCCGACATTGAAGCATTTGTAATCTCGGGATTGCGGTATTGGAAAATCGGTCCGGACCCCTGGATCCCGGTTTTCAGAACAAAAATGTTCATTGAATTTGAATTACTTCATCGTAAAAGAGAATTAGGTGTTGATACTCAGAAGTACACTTTGATTAAGAAACTTGCAGTCATTACATTATTTGAATGGGGATTGAAGATGGAAACTTTACAGAATGAATAAAAGAAACATTCAGAAGTCAAAGTCAATTTTAATCGTTGCCGGAATCTCAAAAAATTTTAAACAATTATCAGTTCTCAGGAGACAGCTATAAATATACTTAGGAAGCGTTACGCAGAAGATTCGACGATCGAAGATCTTCTTTCAATGCAATACACAAATTCTCTTCTGACAATTAATGGTCCTGTTGGTGATTCTTTGACAGAAGCAAGGAGAGTCCTCGATAATTATATTAGTCATCTAGTAGCATTCAACTTAATGAGAATTACACCTGAAGAACTTCCAGACATGATATTTCTTGGAAATTTTTATAGAATAATAGATTTATTTACGATAAACTTTTAAACACAACTTTCTTTAATGAAATCTTTTAACAGAATAACTTTGCAATCGAAATCAGATTGCTTTGATCAATAGAGAATTCAATAATTCAATACTCCTCCTTAATATTAACTTCGTATATATTATTATGTTAATATTACTAACGCAGTCCACAATTGTCAGTAAA